GTGTAGTGGTGAGTGTACACGTGGTGAGTGTAGTGGTGAGTGTACACGTGGTGAGTGTAGTGGTGAGTGTACACGTGGTGAGTGTAGTGATGAGTGTACATGTGGTGAGTGTAGTGGTGAGTGTACACGTGGTGAGTGTAGTGGTGAGTGTACACGTGGTGAGTGTACACGTGGTGAGTGTAGTGATGAGTGTACACGTGGTGAGTGTAGTGGTGAGTGTACACGTGGTGAGTGTAGTGGTGAGTGTACACGTGGTGAGTGTAGTGGTGAGTGTACACGTGGTGAGTGTAGTGGTGAGTGTACACGTGGTGAGTGTAGTGGTGAGTGTACACGTGGTGAGTGTAGTGGTGAGTGTACACTTTGGTGAGTGTAGTGGTGAGTGTACACGTGGTGAGTGTAGTGGTGAGTGTACACGTGGTGAGTGTAGTGGTGAGTGTACACGTGGTGAGTGTAGTGGTGAGTGTACACGTGGTGAGTGTAGTGGTGAGTGTACACGTGGTGAGTGTAGTGGTGAGTGTACACGTGGTGAGTGTAGTGGTGAGTGTACACGTGGTGAGTGTAGTGGTGAGTGTACACGTGGTGAGTGTAGTGGTGAGTGTACACGTGGTGAGTGTAGTGGTGAGTGTACACGTAGTGAGTGTAGTGGTGAGTGTACACGTGATGAGTGTACACGTGGTGAGTGTAGTGGTGAGTGTACACGTGGTGAGTGTGGCGGTGAGTGTACACGTGGTGAGTGTAGTGGTGAGTGTAGACGTGGTGAGTGTACACGTGGTGAGTGTACACGTGGTGAGTGTAGTGGTGAGTGTACACGTGGTGAGTGTACACGTGGTAAGTGTACACGTGGTGAGTGTACACGTGGTGAGTGTAGTGGTGAGTGTACACGTGGTGAGTGTAGTGGTGAGTGTACACGTGGTGAGTGTAGTGGTGAGTGTACACGTGGTGAGTGGTACACGTGGTGAGTGTAGTGGTGAGTGTACACGTGGTGAGTGTAGTGGTGAGTGTACACGTGGTGAGTGTAGTGGTGAGTGTACACGTGGTGAGTGTAGTGGTGAGTGTACACGTGGTGAGTGTAGTGGTGAGTGTAGTGGTGAGTGTAGTGGTGAGTGTACACGTGGTGAGTGTAGTGGTGAGTGTACACGTGGTGAGTGTAGTAGTGAGTGTACACGTGGTGAGTGTAGTGGTGAGTGTACACGTGGTGAGTGTAGTGGTGAGTGTACACGTGGTGAGTGTACACGTGGTGAGTGTAGTGGTGAGTGTACACGTGGTGAGTGTAGTGGTGAGTGTACACGTGGTGAGTGTAGTGGTGAGTGTACACGTGGTGAGTGTAGTGGTGAGTGTACACGTGGTGAGTGTAGTGGTGAGTGTAGTGGTGAGTGTAGTGGTGAGTGTACACGTGGTGAGTGTAGTGGTGAGTGTACACGTGGTGAGTGTAGTAGTGAGTGTACACGTGTGAGTGTAGTGGTGAGTGTACACGTGGTGAGTGTAGTGGTGAGTGTACACGTGGTGAGTGTAGTGGTGAGTGTACACGTGGTGAGTGTACACGTGGTGAGTTTAGTGGTGAGTGTACACGTGGTGAGTGTACACGTGGTGAGTGTACACGTGGTGAGTGTAGTAGTGAGTGTACACGTGGTGAGTGTAGTGGTGAGTGTACACGTGGTGAGTGTACACGTGGTGAGTGTACACGTGGTGAGTTTAGTGGTGAGTGTACACGTGGTGAGTGTAGTGGTGAGTGTACACGTGGTGAGTGTACACGTGGTGAGTGTACACGTGGTGAGTGTAGTGGTGAGTGTACACGTGGTGAGTGTAGTGGTGAGTGTACACGTGGTGAGTGTAGTGGTGAATGTACACGTGGTGAGTTTAGTGGTGAGTGTACACGTGGTGAGTGTAGTGGTGAGTGTACACGTGGTGAGTGTAGTGGTGAGTGTACACGTGGTGAGTGTACACGTGGTGAGTGTACACGTGGTGAGTGTACACGTGGTGAGTGTAGTGGTGAGTGTAGTGGTGAGTGTACACGTGGTGAGTGTACACGTGGTGAGTGTACACGTGGTGAGTGTAGTGGTGAGTGTACACGTGGTGAGTGTACACGTGGTGAGTGTACACGTGGTGAGTTTAGTGGTGAGTGTACACGTGGTGAGTGTAGTGGTGAGTGTACACGTGGTGAGTGTAGTGGCGAGTGTACACGTGGTGAGTGTAGTGGTGAGTGTACACGTGGTGAGTGTAGTGGTGAGTGTAGTGGTGAGTGTACACGTGGTGAGTTTAGTGGTGAGTGTACACGTGGTGAGTTTAGTGGTGAGTGTACACGTGGTGAGTGTACACGTGGTGAGTGTACACGTGGTGAGTGTAGTGGTGAGTGTAGTGGTGAGTGTAGTGGTGAGTGTACACGTGGTGAGTGTAGTGGTGAGTGTAGTGGTGAGTGTACACGTGGTGAGTGTACACGTGGTGAGTGTAGTGGTGAGTGTAGTGGTGAGTGTACACGTGGTGAGTGTAGTGGGGAGTGTACACGTGGTGAGTGTAGTGGTGAGTGTACACGTGGTGAGTGTACACGTGGTGAGTGTACACGTGGTGAGTGTAGTGGTGAGTGTACACGTGGTGAGTGTACACGTGGTGAGTGTACACGTGGTGAGTGTAGTGGTGAGTGTACACGTGGTGAGTGTACACGTGGTGAGTGTAGTGGTGAGTGTAGTGGTGAGTGTACACGTGGTGAGTTTAGTGGTGAGTGTAGTGGTGAGTGTACACGTGGTGAGTGTAGTGGTGAGTGTACACGTGGTGAGTGTACACGTGGTGAGTGTACACGTGGTGAGTGTACACGTGGTGAGTGTACACGTGGTGAGTGTAGTGGTGAGTGTAGTGGTGAGTGTACACGTGGTGAGTGTACACGTGGTGAGTGTACACGTGGTGAGTGTACACGTGGTGAGTGTACACGTGGTGAGTGTACACGTGGTGAGTGTACACGTGGTGAGTTTAGTGGTGAGTGTACTTACTAGTGATGAGTGTAGTCGTGGCGATTGCCAATTCGTTTGTGTTTCTCCCTTGTGATGTAGGATGAACGTTGAGATTTATACGGGGCACGGGGTCACCAATCAGCTCGAAATTGGTCAGTAATCAGGCAGGGCACTGATAAGGGGTTGACAGGTTATACAATAAAAACGCATCGCACTTTGTGTTATTCTGTTCAGCAGCAGCAGCGGCAGCAGCGGAGGCGACTGTGGTCTAGAGGTGACGTCACCTCGAGATCCACGGCCTCCCCGGGGCAGATTTCGTGCAACAACTCAGAGGCGAATTTTGACGACGGCCGGTCATGTTGATGCGTGCGTGCATCTACGCCGTGAGCAGGCAAACATCCTCGATGCACGTTTGCGACTGTCGGGAGTTGCATTGTGCTCGAGTTTCGATGTGGTCATTCACCAACGTGCTTGTGCAATACGCTAGCAACAGCACTGCACGGTACGTAGGGAAAGCACACAAATCTTAGGCACGTAAATAAATAGGCCATTTAAAAAAAACGTATAAAAAATGTCGAATGAAACAACGTGTATTTCTACTTAGCGTGTATATTTTAAAGTGGGTGCGAGGGTGTTGCGAGTTGTAGATGTTATTCCAGTAAAAAAAATATAACGACACGCCCGTTCACGCAGACACCGGCTCCCTAAATCTCAACGCACCAAGACGCCAAGCCTACAACAGTGCACGCACACACACAAAGATACCCTCCCCCCCCCTCTCCACAACGCCGTTATAGCCTTACACCGTTGGGGCAAGTGCTGTTAGCGAGCACCTATTAAGACAGGCACGGCACACGGCCGGGGTGGGTGGCCAGCACCACGCCGCGCCTGCCCGCCCGGCCGCCTTTGTTTCCCCGAGTGGCGATGCTTACTGCAACACCGCACCAGGCGACTCATTCGAGGCCGAGTCGGCCTAGCGGGGGAGGCCTCGGAGCGGTTGTTCAGATCATCGCTAGCGCCGGTATTGGTGGCCGTGAGCGGTGAATGGAACTCGGGTCACCGGGTTCGTAGCGCAGCGCCACCGTTCCCCACACACATTAACGCAGCCACCCTGTAACTCAAGATGTTACCGATGCGTTAATTTACCATTAAAAAGCCCGGGTCTTCAATAGTATGTCGTCAGCAGGGTTCGGCTACATTGGGATGTTTGGGCAATTCCTTTTTTTATTGTATACCCCAGTATAATGCCAACGTTCGGTCAACGTTGGGCCAACGTTGGCATGGTGATTGGAACAACGTTGGAATGGTGGTTGGACCAACGTTGGAATGGTGGTTGGACCAACGTTGGGCCAACGTTGGGCCAACGTTGGTATGATAGTTGGACCAACGGTGGGCCAACGTTGCATGTTGACTGGGATAAGGAGTTGTTTTTCCTGTGTACAACGACGCCCACAGCAATCAGACCTCTCTCAACGCCCACCAATTGCCTCACCCCAACGCTGCAAATAAACACACACACACACACGTCCACCTTGCCCTAAGTTGTCCACTGCCTCTCTCTGCGTTGTTATTACGATTCGTAAACAAGGCCGAGCATGTCCCAAATAACAGAGGAAATTACGCAACCGCGTTCGACGGATCCTCCAGCAATCGTGGTGCTCGAGAAATGTACGCCGACACACACGAACACAGGCGCGCACACACACACACGCGATCACCCTCCTCTGTACGGTGTGCCTGTTACAGTTAAACAAACACGACACACACATATATAATATTTAACGAATCAAAAGCCATGCTTTTTTTTTTTGCAGATCATCCAAAATAAGGCTGCATGCAAATTCTTGATAGCACCGTTCATCACATACGACGTTACATGGGATACGCTACGTTGTCCAACACATGATTTGCAATAACAGTAACAGTGGTTTTTAAAAAAAAAACCCACTACGTCAGTCACGATGATAATCGATGCGATGGCGATGGTGCTAACATAGCTCGTGAATTTAAACGCACGTTAGATGAAATAGTCGCGTTCGCTGTACGAGCATCACTTACCAGCAGACGTGCGGCTTATGGTGACCGAGTCAGCCATGGCGAGTGCTGTCCGCGGTGCTGAATGCGGGCGACGCCCATATACCGCCAGTCTCCCTCTCGTCCCCGCTCCCTCTCCCTCTCTCTCTCGCTCGCTATCTCTCCTGGGTCTATTTCTCGTCTGGCTCTTCCCCGACTCTCTCTCTCTCTCACACAGCCACTGCCGAGCGCACAGATTAGCCCTGCCGGCGTGTCGCTGGTTCTGCGTGCGTGCGTGCGAGTGTGCCCTTGGGTGACGATGCTGATGATGAGCAGCGTGGGGTGTGAGCAAGCTGCGATGAGAGATGATGATGATGATGGAGAGGGTGATGTGATAGGATGGAAGCGAGAGATGGTGCCGAGGTTGCGGTGTGACGAGAGACGGCGGTGAGAGAGGCGCCCAGAGCCCTGGGATGGGAGATGACTCCGGACGAGTGAGCTTTGATGATGACGAGGAGCAAGCAGGACGGTCAGACGAGTGAGCAGTGGATTAGGTAACCGTCGTGGCTACGAGTTGCGATGGATCGGCTCTGAGGAGCACTGCGAGCAGTGATAAGAAGAGGAGATCTGTGGAGGAGAGCCGGGATGAGAGTGATTATCTCTCTCTCTCTCTGCCTTCACCCACAAACCCCCACTCGTCACTACCTACAACCGCCTCCCAGTTTGCCGCGCATGCGCCCTAGTGGCCACTCGGATTATAAACACACGCAGATGGACGTTTCGTGTTTATTTATTATATGCGAGGACTGTTATTTTGTTCGCTATAAATTGTCCACTTACCGGCCCGTATCGGTGACTATCCGGACTGTGTATATAGCACTTTTTGCAAAGCTGATTTAAAAAAAAAATATAAGTACGATCGTTGCCAAGTGGTCACACGCGCGCGAGAGAGAGCGAGAGAGCCTCGTTGAGTCTCAGGACTCGTTTTAAAGAGGATGGATAACGTCTTGCCACATGGCCTGTTTTGTGTTTTGTTCGGAAGGTTTGGCGATTGCCCCGAATGAGAGTTTCGCATTATCGTAGAAGCAAAAGTAGCTACACGCGCAGTAGCTGCTACTACACGCGCAGTAGCTGCTACTACACGCGCAGTAGCTGCTACTAGACGCGCAGTAGCTGCTACTAGACGCGCAGTAGCTGCTACTAGACGCGCAGTAGCTGCTACTACACGCGCAGCAGCTGCTACTACACGCGCAGCAGCTGCTACTACACGCGCAGTAGCTGCTACTACACGCGCAGTAGCTGCTACTAGACGCGCAGTAGCTGCTACTAGACGCGCAGTAGCTGCTACTACACAAGCAGTAGCTGCTACTACACAAGCAGTAGCTGCTACTACACAAGCAGTAGCTGCTACTACACAAGCAGTAGCTGCTACTACACAAGCAGTAGCTGCTACTACACAAGCAGTAGCTGCTACTACACAAGCAGTAGCTGCTACTACACAAGCAGTAGCTGCTACTACACAAGCAGTAGCTGCTACACCACGTGTAGTAGCTACGGGCCCCGCACTTTCACGTGTAGTAACTGCTACTACATGTGGTGTAGTAGCAGCTACTACACGTGTAGTTGCTGCTACTACACATGTAGTAGCTACGGGCCCCGCACTTTCAAGGGCCCCACGCTAAATGCTTTCAAACTACCAATTCCGGTTCAGTGATTCTGCACTTGCTCTATTACGACAGGACTATACCGCCTTCAACTTTTATGAACGACAGCGCTGTCCTCCAGACAGTCTCGTCCCTTCGCCTGATGAAGGCCGCTTGTGTTGTGGCCGAAACGTCGTGATTTTTTGTTATTTTATTTTTTACCTGCGTGACTTTACCCAATAGAACCAAAGAGTATGAACGACTGGGTGTTTACAGCTAGCGATTTGTCGTATTACCTGGCTGTATAGCAAATGAAAAAATACAATGACTTTACTATGCAAGTAAAAAAACGTGTTTTTTATATTTAAGTGTTTTTGTTTAATTTAGGGCCTCTTTATAGCAACATAATGCTACAGGACCCGCAACGACCTGAATCCGGGCACTGGCTTCCGCAGAAACCCAGCGTCGCGCTCTGCACGAGGGGTATGGGGCCGTCCATAAATGACGTCACGCGATTTTGGACGATTTTTGACCCCCCCCCCCCTCGTCACACGGCGTCACAAAAAGTCAGACCCCCCCTCAAATATGACGTCACAAAGCTCTGCCCCCCCCCCCCAAAAAAAAACACATATTTCCATTTTGAAAATAAATCATGCTTCAAATCGCTTTAAACTATTGTCATTGTAGTGCGTATTTAATGTGGCGCTGCACTCTGATGTTGTAGGAGAAAACATTTAGCAAAAAGTATATTTAATTAAGTAGAACGTATTGTCTATAATTATTTAAAGTTGCGCATTTTGATGTGACGTCACATTTCTCAAACCTCCCCCCCCCCTCCTCGTCACACATCGTTACAAATGTCTGACCCCTCCCTCCCCCCCACTAGGTGCGTGACGTCATTTATGGACGGCCCCTTACGACGACTCAGCACCATCGCCTCTTGGCGCGACCAAACCGACAAACACTCGGGTCGAGCAGTGACCCCCCCCCCACCCCCCTCCGTTGGGCACTCGTTCTAGAATTAGCGATGCTCAACAACAACAGCAGCAGCAGCAACAACAACAACACAAAACAAAGATCCTGCTCAGCCTCCTAGATGGGACTTGGTCGGCCTGAGCGGCGCTCTTGGCAGGAGGAGCCCTGCAGACCCCAAGGCAGTAAACCCGTGGCTTGGTGCTGCTGTTGTAGCAGCAGCAACAACAACAACAACACAAAACAAAGATCCTGCTCAGCCTCCTAGATGGGACTTGATCAGCCAGAGCGGCGCTCTTGGCAGGAGGAGCCCTGCAGACCTCAAGGCAGTAAACCCGTGGCTTGGTGCTGCTGTTGTAGCAGCAGCAACAACAACACAAAACAAAGATCCTGCTCAGCCTCCTAGATGGGACTTGATCAGCCAGAGCGGCGCTCTTGGCAGGAGGAGCCCTGCAGACCTCAAGGCAGTAAACCCGTGGCTTGGTGCTGCTGTTGTAGCAGCAGCAACAACAACAACAACACAAAACAAAGATCCTGCTCAGCCTCCTAGATGGGACTTGGTCGGCCTGAGCGGCGCTCTTGGCAGGAGGAGCCCTGCAGACCTCAAGGCAGTAAACCCGTGGCTTCATGCTGCTGCTGCTGCAGCTGCAGCGACGTTGGCAGTGATGCAGAACCAACACGGAACTACAACGACGCAACGCATCTTCAGAAACACTGCGGCCTTAAAGGTCAATGCTGTGCTGTGTGTATATATATATAAATGAATGGCGACGTTTCGGGCAACAGCCCTTTCTTTGTGGCACGTAACACCACAACCCCGGCGATTCAATGAAATGTGTAGAATCTGTTGTTTTTTTTTAAAGTGTGAATGTTAGCGGCCTCTAGTAGCTGCAGTGAATCGTGAACCTGCACCCTCCCCCCCACCACCCCTGGCATGCAACGCAACATTAAGAACCGAAAGACATCGATTGGGCCACGCATCGCACGCGTTCAGAACCGCTCGTACGGGAGAGGTTCTCGGAACGGAGGCGACTCACAGCCGGACCCGAAAATCACAACGCCGGCCGCTCGTACGGCAGCGTTTGCTCCGTCGCCGTGGTGCCGCGATCGATCCACTGCTGGATAGGTCGTGGCACCACGATGCCGCGCCCCGTACCCGCGTCGGTCGCCACCTCGAGCGCGTTCCCCTCCTTGAGCTGCCGCTCTGCAGCCACTCTCGTCCGTCGGCCGCCATCCCTTGTTGCTGTCACGTCGAGCGCTTCGACCCATCATATTGAAGGTGTGCGTGCGCGTGTGCGTGTGTGTGCGTGTGTGTGCGTGCGTGCGCACGCGTGTGTGTGTGCGTGCGTGCGTGCGTGCGCGCGCGTGTGTGCGTGTGTGTCTGTGCGTGTGCGCGCGTGTGCGTGTGTGTGTGTGCGTGTGCGCGCGTGCGTGTGCGCGCGCGTGTGTGTGGGCGTGTGTGCGCGTGTAGCGGTTAGCGCGCTGCGCTACGAAACTGGCGACCCGGGATCGATTCCCGCTCACGGCGAACACCAGCGACGATTATTTGAACCGGTCCTGGGCCTCCCCTAGGTAGACTCAGCCTCAAATGAGTACCTGATGCGATATGTAAACATCGCCGCTGGGGAGACAAAGGCGGCCGAGCGTGGTTGTTGGCCACCCACCCCCTCGTGTGCCGTGCCGGCATTTATAGGTGCTCGCTAACAGCACTTGCCCCTACAGTCTGTTAAGGCTACACGGGGGACCTTTGTCTTTGTGTGTGTGCGCGTGTGTGTGCGCGTGGCACCTGGGTCTGCCCCGTGACCTCCTGCCAGGGGCCGTTCGACACTTCACGTGGCTTGAACGTGCACCTCGCCTGGCACAAGCGTCGTGGTGACGTCACCGCCACTAAGTGGCGAATGGCGGCGGTTGTTGTTGTTGTGCGTGCGAGGGATGTGGCGGGCACTCGTGGCTGCGGGGGCTCGCGATCGATAAAAGGATGCAACGATTTCGGCGAAATTGGGGGCCGTCCGTAAATGACGTCACGCGATTTTGGACGATTTTTGACCCCCCCACTCGTCACACGGCGTGACAAAAAGTCAGACCCCCCCCTTCAAATATGACGTCACAAAGCTCTGCCCCCCCCCCCCCAAAAAAACTATATTTCCATTTTGAAAATAAAACATGCTTCAAATCGCTTTAAACTATTGTCATTGTAGTGCGCATCTAATGTGACGCTGCACTTTGATGTTGTAGGAGTGTTATAACAATCAGTGTTCTTATAACAATTCTATATTTATTTAAAGTTGCGCATTTTGATGTGACGTCACATTTCTCACCCCCGCCGCTCCAGTGCGTGACGTCATTTATGGACGGCCCCTTGTCGCTTTTTTTTTAAAAGCCGATAGCTGCCTCGAGTGGCTTGCAGGGATCACGCGAATTTGATTGACCGCTCCCCAAACCTGCGTCTCCGAGTACACCAATCGGTGCATCGAACGTCTGTTTTCTCAACCGAATTAAATAAAATCCATTACACCGCCCTCCCCCCACACAGAAGGAAATATCACAGAGCTGCCCGTTATCTTCGACTGACATATCCACAGCAGGGGGAGGCGGGCAGCACTTTCCCACCGGCCTGATGGTGTTTTATTATTATTACACGCTTTTTATTAACTCACTCTGTCTGTTGTTGTATCCTCAAATCTTCTCACTAAATTGTAACCCACTTCCCAATGTGGTATCGACTGCAAACTTGGTATACTTATGTCATACTGATGACAATACTATATTCTATCATTAAAAATAAAATATATTTTTAAACATTCTTTTTTATATGTTATGTTTCGGCTTGGCTCTAATTGTCCACGGTAAACTGACGTTGGCTGTAAATAACCACGGTCCACCTTACGTTGTGGCAAGCTTCGGGGCCACTTCCTGGAGTCGTGGAGCTCTTCCATTGCTAGTACGGTACATTTCATTAAAGCGTGTTTATTTTTTTTTAATATTACTTATTTCCCCGTGCAGTCACCGGCGACCAGGTTGAGGGCCATCACCGCGGCCGAGGTGCGAACCCGACCTCTGGGTCCCAGCGGTAACGGGCTCAGCACTCTGCCCCGTGGGTGATCCTAGTTCCACGTGCGCCATTATTTTTTCTTCATCTTCCGTTTTTTAAGTGACAGTGCGTCGTTGGATTGGGCGCATTCTCAAGAGGTGACGTAACGATGATTTCAACTCGTGGCA